CTGATGGGTCCAGCAGAGTTCCAGGCATCTTCATCACTGAATTCCAAGAGACTGTCTCCCTGGGGCACCCAGGCTTGAGCGTGAAGCTTTATTTGTGTTTTATTTATTCATTAGATTGGCAGAGGCCTTCTCTCCAGGGAGCTCTAGGTGCCCAACATGAAATTAGCATCTACATTTCCCAACAAAGTCGACTGGTTTGGAATCCTTTGCAGCCTTGCCTGTGTTCTGAGGTTTAAATAGCGCTGGAAACCAAGCACACTTAAATGACAAAAGCCTACCAACTTTTCCACCCATGCTCTTGGCAGAAATTGCTATTTCAGTATAGATTTTTTTTTTTTCTTCTGATTATGGGCACAGTCTCTGAATTTTTCTTAATCTAGTGTTCAAGGCAGCAACTGGGATGTGTCCAAGATATTGTTTGAGTTGGGATCTCTCTGCTATTCTTCATCTCAGTCCTTCACATTTCCAAAGGGCACTGGGAAGTGGTGACAAACCCTTTCTTACACTTCTCTGTGGAGTACAGAGCTGGCCAGAGTCCACGTTGGATATTCATTCTCCAGAGAGTGTCTTATGAGTGTATTTGGTAAAATGCACACTAAAGTTACATCTGTGCATGCGTTTCTCGGACTTCCTTTTAATCCTCACGTGTTTGCATCTAGCATGCCTCGGGCAGTGTCTGGCATAACAGGCACTAAATCAAATGTGTACAATTCGCTGTGATGAGCATGGGAGGTTCATTCATCAACTTTTTTTTTTCCTTGCTGTAGCCCACTTCTTTACCTTTAAATTAGATTATGTAGAAATCCAGGTCTACATAAAAACAGAGCTTCCCTGAATTCTTGACTATTTAGTTCTTATTTTATCAGGAACTCCAAGAGAATAAATTTTATTGAAAGTGGTATTTTCTCATCTCCCTCCCTGCTCCCTCCTCTGTCCCTCGGTCTCTGTGCATTGCTATGGATTCTATTTTCTGGTTGAATTTGACACCTAATAGTCATCAGATGATTGCATCCAATTAGTAGCTATTATATTCTTCAGTTACTTTCTGTTTGGACATGAGTTTATTGATCTGGTAAGATTTCATTCTTCAGAAACATAAACAACATGCCATTTAATTCAGCCTCAGTGCTGTCTCTAAGCACCAGGAAACAGGCATTTAAAGAGGCAGTGTAAGGGAGGGAGAGGATGAGGGAGGAAGGCTATTACCTCTTTCGAAGAAGAGGGGGAAGACATCGGGTTAAACCTTGATCACTATCATTTCACCTTTGGACTTTTATTAAAACTGTTTGACAGAGACGTGTTGGCAGATGGAGTAGGAAGATAAATGGGCCTGTGTGAATAGGTTTAATATCAAAAGTGGATAGGAGACATGGCACGTTTTCCCATCCAGAAATTGTTCACGTCCGCAAGATTTGCAGGTTGCGGCTGGTGATCCTGTCTGGCTCAGGGGGCCAAAAGGTGAACACGATTGAGGTACCTTTTGCTATGAATATTTCACAGCCTGAGTATCCCTTTTTCACTTGGGGCTGTGTGCTGACTGAGGGCTTCTTCAGGATGAGTCCTCAGTTGACTGATGAATACAAAACGCCTCTCTGAACAAAAGGCATTCAAGATTCGCTGAAGACAAGACAACCTACTTTGGTTTCTGTGTCTGGTACCGGGGTATCAGCGGAGATAAAACACTGAGTGACAGGGAAGCGAAATACAGAATAACACAATCTATTGTTCTCCCATTGACTCTAAGTATAATGGGAAAGTTAGCGAGTCACCGTAATGTCAGGGACCGCTGTGAACTTGGGAGAACTCAAGGATCAGAAAGTAACATGAAGCAAGGAGGGAAATGCAGATAATATTGGGTTACTGAACATTCTCAAATTGTACTGAAACGCATCCCATCCCTTTGAAGGGGGCATGTTTTTGACAAGGAGGACAATGGGAAGGAACTGGCAGCGGTAACAATATCACCATTTTCTTTTACTACGGGCCGTAACGTGAACTTCTTAGAAGACACCTTCTTTCACCACGGCTTTGTTGTCCAGTCTATTGAGGAGCCCAGAGACCAAAGTCCCTGCCTTGTTCCGGGGCCCGTCGAAAACCAAGGAACCTGGTTCTGCCAGCCAACGCCAGCTGCTCTGCTGTGAATCACAGAGCAGGTTTGCAGCCCAGGGCGGAGGAAAGGAACTGAGAGGGAATGCGAGAAGCAGAGAGGGAACAGCCAGGGTGAAGAATTTGGAGCATGGGAGTGAAAGAGTAGGAGAGAAAAAACGAAGGTGGTGGAGGAAAGAAACAGAATTTTCATGGTGGGGAAGGAATGGGAAGAGACAGTGTATGCCATTCCCAGGTGTGAGTAAAGTTCCCCTCCAACACAAACAAAACAACAACAAAAAGAACTGAATCACCTTTGAAGTGATTTTCTTGGAGCCAGAAATCTACCCCCGGATTAACTATTTTCTGGGGGGAAAATTTAGCTAATGCTTAGTAACATTTTTAGAATCTATGACATTCCCGCACTAAAACATCCTTTCCCAAACACATGTGATAAGAAAACACATACTTACAACTCACAAGAATGCTGATGAAGGGCTATGAACTCTCTCTTGTAGAAAAATGAACATACAGATACTAATTTTGCACACAAACTCTGGGTTCACACACTCCCGAAGTCCATTTATAAACCTCTCAGAATTCCACAGACATAGGTTCAGAATTGCTATTCCAGAGTGTCTAACAAAGACCTGGCATAGAATAAGTGCTGAATAAACTCTTACAGCTTTGAATTATGCAAGTATTCTGGTCAGCTGAATATTCTAGTTGGCTAAAGTGTACCGCATGTGCCTTCACAACTGATTGTCAAGGGACTAGAGATAAGTACAATGTTTTCAATATCAAAAGCATACTTATTGCAATAAAAACCTTTATGGTATTGGATGATCCAGAAGGCAGATTTTCATGATTGCACGTCCCCTTTTCATAGTAGATGAAAAGCCCAACTGTTGTTCAAATTAATCTCAGGTCGGATGGACCATTACTGAGCTTTAGGCTTGTTTATATATAAAATATTGTTTCTTTCCAATGTGATCTCTTAATTGGGTATATGAAGGTTTTTTTAGGTGTCTGGATTCAATTTGGAAGTTTCTTAAACTCCAGTCTATGAGAGTTTTAAGGAGGTAAAATATATTGGTATTTCCTGGAGGAGGAAATTCTAGAATTGACCATGCTACTGCTAAAACCTTTCTTGAGACAGTTCATTTAGGAAGACTGGTTCCCATGGGACCCACCTCTTGGAGTTAGTTGAGTGTGTTAAAGAGATTTATTTCCAGACAAATTGGCTTATAAATATGAACCAGCCTGTGAAAGGCAGTCCATCGGACAAATCTTGAGGGAACTATTCTTTCTACTTTAGGGACTCATGTTATGAAAGATCTAATAGGTAGCTCCTATTCCTACCACCAGCTCTGTATATTTTAGCTAACACCGAACGTGACCATTCCTCCTAATTTACTTAATATAGCAGTCCCCAAGGGCTTGTAAACCCATAATTGGACAGTTAAGATTAGAAAGTTAAGAAGACTGACACGGGAAGAGAGGCTTTATAACCATGAGGGACATTTTATTGGCTGAGGATTTCTGAAAGCACCATTTTAATTATCTCTTGAGCAGCTTCCCTTGTCCTATCAGCCATCAAGAGGTAAGAGATGAGATGAAGAGTTACTCATGTTGAATAAGCGTGGACTTCATCCTCCAAGTCTTCATTAAAGAAGGACTTGTTGGAATGAATGAAGAAGATGAAGTTATAGTCAGGGTAACATGAAATAAAAATACAAAAGTCCACTCAAGGACTTTAATTTAAATCCTAATGCGAGCCTCGTTAAGTGCATTGTTTAAAGTGTCCTGAAACATTGCAATTTTCTCTTTATTTCTGGGAATTTTAGTTACTGTTAGCTTCTGACTACTACTTACACTAAAATCCTTTAGAAAACACGCAAAGGCTGTGTTTTTCAGGGAGAGAAGAAGAGGGAATCTGTTCTGTGGTGTTTGTAGGAGATGGAGCCATCACTGGCTGGAAGCTGGGAAGTATGAATGCCAGTACTCAGGGTGGGGAAGAGTTGGTGTGAGACCAGCAAGTTGGTCACTAGAAGACAGTCTACAGCAAAGAATGCTTTAGCTCACCACAGTTTCCAACCTCTCCATGGTGGTCACTTCTTCCCCACCTCCAAGACCTAGATCTGAAACTCTTTATAGGTCGGATGAACCTCAGACTCAGTCAGCAGCTGCTGTCAGAACAGGAAGTTGGGTGAGACCAACCCGAGATGCCTATTAAATCGAGAAAACCTCCCCAAAGGTCTCAAGGTCTTTATAACAAGAACATCTTGCTTCTGGATTTGATACAGAATTGGAGAATGTGGGTGTCAGACACAAGGGCTGCCAAAGAACCCAGAGGGAAGAAGCTCTAATGTGAGGTCCAGCCCAGGTCCTTCCACCCAGACACCTTCCCCAGCGGAAGTGCATCTTGTGCTACCTGACCGAATCATTTTAGCACTTTCCTTTCTGCAGCACTCCTGCTTATCTTGACTATCATTCCAGAAGGCTTTACAATCCCTCCTTGGAGCAATGATACCCTAAGAGCTTGGGGAAAGTTCTGGGGGACTATAGAGATGAATCAGCACACTGTTGGGGTTGATGGCAATGAGGGCCAACTGGCAGAGCTTTTTCCGATTGAGTGAGATGTGTTGTCCTTCATCTTCTTGGTCTCATCTGGTTGTTGGTAAGGACTCAGTTTCCATCATGCATCCCAACACATCCCAAAATTGGAATGCCAGCTCCTCCACTCACCTCCCTGAACCTCCATCTCCCTATGACTCATGGTCAAGCACTGTTAGAAGCACTTTACATGCATTAACTCATGTAATCCTCACAACAACCTTACGATGTAGATTAGAATTTGTGAGCTCCGTTCTACAGATGAAGACACCGAGGCACAGAAAGTCTGAGTAACTTACCTCAAGTCACACAGGTAGCAGATGACAGAGCAGGGATTTGAATCCAGGTAGTCAGCCTCCACCCGCCGTGTTCTGATTCCGCTTTGCCTTGCTTCTGTAGGATTAAGTGAGAGATTTATTTGTGTATAAATTAGATAAATATCCTATTATGCACTTATAAAACATGCAGAAATCAGAAATTACACAGAAGAAACGATAAAAATATATAAATTCAAATAATTATCCCTACTCTTCCAGAGACTGTCTTGCTCACTCTACACTGTAGACCACTGAGAAGCTCACATTATCCTATCTGGCCCACAAAGACTGAAGAGAGAAACTCGACCATCTGATTACCTCACGTCATCACAATGATTTACTCCTTATCCCTTCAGTTCAGGTTCTAATCCATGGAGTCTGAACTTGGAAGGAAGACCCTATTCTCCCTTACATGGGAGTAAATGAACAGATGTATTACCCAGTAACTACACCACATCTGGCTAAACCCAGACAAGCCAAATGGCATTAGGCTGGCTGCTAACTTGTGGGGCCTTCTGTACCCAGGAGACTCTGGGTGATGGAGTGGTACCAAGATAGGGATGCTGCCTTAGGCTTCATCATTCAAAGATGGAGCTGTGACAGGGGCTCCCTGTAGCTTAGTCTCCCAAACCCCATGGCTCACTCAGGCATGATCTCCCCTTCTCCCTGAAGCACCTTCCCACTCCTGGACCATCCTGGCCACTCAGGAGGGAGGCACTGTGCAGAAGCCAGAGAAGGGAGGTGGGGGAAGGCTGCCCCACAGGGCTGAAGGGCAGCTGTTTATATTGTAATTAAGGTTTCACAGCAAAAACTGAAATGTAGCTCAACTATTCCAACAAGGCACTGGAGGTAATTACACTGCTAGAGGCGGACTCCACTGCCAATTATTTCCCTCCCTAATTGAATAACTTAGGCCACATTATAGTGAGACAGGCAAAGGGAGAGGCTACTTTCAAATATGGATGTTCCTTCAGAGGACTCCAAACAGCTCAAAACTTAACACACCCTTTTCCTAACATCCTTTCCCAGGAGTGTGGTATAGAGGATAAGAATGGAGGTCCTTGCCCTGACCGGTTTGGCTCAGTGGATAGAGCGTCAGCCTGTGGACTCAAGGGTCTCAGGTTTGATTCCAGTCAAGGGCATGTACCTTGGTTGCAGGCACATCCCCAGTGGGGAGTGTGCAGGAGGCAGCTGATCGATGTTTCTCTCTCATCGATGTTTCTAACCCTCTATCCCTCTCCCTTCCTCTCTGTAAGAAATCAATAAAAATATATTTTTTTAAAAAAGAATGCAGGTCCTGGAGTCCCAGTACTTACTGGCTTGGGCAGATTACTTAAACTCTGTGAGGGTTCCCTCATCTATAAAATGGGTCTAATTGAAATATAGACTTCATGCACTACTGTGGGGATTAAGTACATATAATAATCCCGGCACACAGAACACATTGAATGATTCTGGCTTAAGGAAATGGTGGCAGTAGAGTGTGCACCTGTAGAGCGGCAGGTCCTTTTATCTTCCCTGAACAGATAGGTAAATGGAGGCAGAAAGCACACCTAGTCTCACGTGGAATTGAACTAGATAAAATGATGCTTTCTTGGCTCAAAAGGAGTGATCTCCTCTGAGTTATAGAGGAAATGGCCTCCCCCAAGAAAGTTGGACAGATCTTTAAGATGTATAGACCCTGGAGGGAAAACCAAGATGGGGGCGTAGGTAAACACCGGTACTCACAGCCTCCCACAGCCACATCAAAATTACAACAAAAATACAAGACAACCATCATTCAGAACCACCTAAAATCTGGCTGAATGGAAGTCCTACAACTAGAGAAGTAAACAAGAAAGCACATTGAGACTGATAGGAGAGGCGGAGGTGCAGAATGGGCTGGTCTGACACACATGTGGGACATGTTTTTAATCAGGAGTGACATCTCTGCTGTGGAGTCCTCCCTGAGAAGCAAGGGTCTCAGTCCCAAACCAGACCCCCAGCCCAGGGTTCCAGAGCTGGGAAGAGATGTCCCCATAACTTTGGGCTGTAAAAGCCAGTGGGGACTATGCCTGAGTGACATGGAGGCTGCTGGAAACCCAGGCAGTACTCTTAAAAGGCCAGCACATGGAATTATACAGTCCCACTTCCTCTGAGCTCCAGTGCCAGGCAGCAGCTTAGGGGGATCCAGGGACACACAGAGAGGAACTAGATTGTCTGGCACTGGGGCAGAAACTCAGGGGTGGCTTTCTCCCAGAGTTGGGTGCTCACAGGGATCATTGTTCCTATACTAGGACTTCCCCTGTTCAGAACTGACTTGCAGACATATCTGAGCTTCCATCAGCATGGCCCACACTATTTGCTCTTCCCTGGTGATTCACTTAGACCCCACCCCATACAATTTGCAACCCTACCCAAGCTGTTTGCAATGGCTTTTCCATATGAATTGCCTGTCCTGGCTTAGGCTTCAGACTTTGCTAAAATCTCTTGAACAAGCACCAGCTGGTGTCAGCATGTCCCAAACCTATCTAAAAGGCCCAAGACCTGGCACTAGCACTAGCCTTCCTTGCTTCACAGCTGGGCCTTGCCTGGGCATTTCTGAGCCCAATATAAGAAGTAGCCATTTGAAGATCTCTCTGTAACTCCTGCCAGGTGGCCCCAGGCAGTGGCTGACCAGGCACCTCCCAGGAGGTCCCAGAGCCAGTGCACCCAGTGGGAAACTTTAAACCATACCAGATTAGAACTCTACACATCCACAAGCAACACACTCAAGGGGCAGACTCAGCGAGTACCAAAGCCCCACTGAAGCAAGTCCTGCTCCATAGAGGTTTTTCCTGCACAGCAACTCTCCCACTGTAGTCAGAGCTGGTCCTCACAGCCAATTGGCCTGGAGGTCAATTCCTCCCAGTGAATGCCAACAGCAATCAAGGCTCAACTACAACAAGACTGTGAACACAGCCCACACGGGGTGCACCTAGAGTGTCCAGCTTGGGTGACTGGGGAGGCTGAGCCACTGTATTCTACAGGATAACTACTATGCAAGGTCACTGCACCACTTCCAGGAAACAAAGCAGCCAGCTAATACATAGAAATAATCACAGGGAAGCAGCCAAAATGTAGAGACAAAGAAACATGTCACAAATGAAGGAAATGGAATGGAAGCAAGCAAACTACTGGATACAGAGTTCAAAACAATGGTTATAAGGTTACTCAAGGATTTAATGAGAGCTTCAAGGGACTCCGTGAGACTGTCAAGGATCTTCATGAGCATTTCAAAGACATGAAAAAGGACTGGTCAGAACCTAAGCATACACTAACTGAAATAAAGAATAATTCATAGGGATTCAACAGTAGAGTAGATGATTCTGAGAATCAAATCAACAATTTGGAATATGAGGAAGAAAAAAATACCCAATCAGAAGAGCTAAAAGAAAAAAGAATTAAAAAATGAAGATAGTGTAAGAAGCCTCTGGGACAACTTCAAGCATACCAACATTTGCATTGTGAGGGTGCCAGAAGGAGAAAAGAGAGCAAGATATTGAAAATTTATTTGAAGGAATAATGACAAAAACTTCCCCCACCTGGTGAAAGAAATAGACTTACAAGTCCAGGAAGCACTGAGAGTCCCAAACAAGAGGAACCCAAAGAGGACCACACCAAGACACATCATAATTAAAATGCCAACAGTTAAAGACAAAGAGAATCTTAAAAGCAGCAAGCAAAAAACAGTTACCTACAAGGAAGATCCCATACGACTGTCAGCTGATTTCTCAACAGAAACTTTGCAGGCCAAAAGGGAATGGCAAGAAATATTCAAAGTGATGAAAAGTAAGGACCTACAACCAAGATTGCTCTACCCAGAGAAGTTATCATTTAGAAGTGAAGGTCAGATAATGAGCTTCCAAAACAAGAAAAAGCTAAAAAAAGTTCATCTCCACCAAACCAGTATTACATGAAATGCTTAATGGTATTTTTTAAGAAGAGGGAGAAGAAAAAGAAAGATAAAAAATATGAACAATAAAATGGCACTAAATACATCTCTATCAACAATTGAGTCTAAAAATCAAAATAAACCAACAAGGAATCTAATGAACAAAATAAACTGATGAATCAGAGGCATGGAAACATGGAACAGACTGACGAATCTCAGAGGGAAGGGGGGAGGGAGAGTGGGAAGAGATTAACCAAAGGTCTTACATGCATATATGCATTACCTATGGACACAGACAATAGGATCTTAATGAGCATTTCAAAGGCATGAAAAAGGACTAGTCAGAAATTAAGCATACACTAACTGAAATAAAGAATAATTTATAGGGATTCAACAGTAGAGTAGATGATTCCAAGCAAAGGCCTGGGGCAGAGTGAGAACCTCCAATTTTCCCCACTGCTCCCCAGGGTGAGGGCCAATTCCCTCCCAGAGTTAACCACACACTCCCTTCCCAATGTCCAACCCCTTGGCCATTACATCACAGTGTTTGAAACATCTCAAAAGCCAGAGATAGGAATTCTCAAATTTGGGGTGCATATGAGTCTCTTGCAGAACATGTTTAAAAATGCAGGCTCCATGGCCATACTCCCAAGGGTTCTGATTCCCTGGGTCTAAGACAGTGGTTCTCAACCTTCTGGCCCTTTCAATACAGTTCCTCATGTTGTGACCCAACCATAAAATTATTTTCATTGCTACTTCATAACTGTAATGTTGCTACTGTTATGAATCATAATGTAAATATATGATATGCAGGATGGTCCTAGGTGACCCCTGTGAAAGGGTCGTTTGACCTCCAAAGGGGTCGCGACCCACAGGTTGAGAACTGATGGTCTAAGACGAGGTCCAGGAACCTGGAGTTTAGCAATTTAACAAAGTTTCCAGGTGTTTCTGATTTCAGTGGTTCAAGGATCAGGCTCTGAGAAACACTAAAAAGAGAACCAAGGATGAACAGCAGAGGCCTCTGAAACTCCACCTTGTGGCCTTGGTTCATTTCCTTAAATTTTCTGAACTTCAGTTTCCTTAAATGCAAATGCAGATAATAGTATTTACCTTAGAGGGGTTTTGTGATAATTAAATGAGATGGTGCATGGAAGGTGCTGAGT